TTAGTGGATTTAACTTGGAAATCAACCAAGTGGTGTGATACAACATGTATTGTCTGAGTCTTCGTGTAGCCTAGAGTAAAGCACAACAAACCCTTTCAATGGGAAGATATTTAACCTCGCAATCGGTGAACTTCTTACTCAAGTAGCAGATGGCCCTTTCCTTCCTTCCGGATTCATCATGTTGACCCAGGACACACCCTATTGAATTCTCGAATATGGATAGATACAAGAATAGAGGTTTTCCCGGGATGGGGGACATCAGGATAGGAGTGTGAGACAAATATTCCTTTACTTTCTCAAATGCAGTCTGGAAGTTCTCATCCCATGCTCCCGGGTTGTTCTTTAGGAGAAGGCAAAAGATTGGGTCACACTTTTCGGTTAACTGAGATATGAACCGTGCTATGTAGTTCAATATTCCCAGAAAACCTCGAACTTCTTTTTTGTGTTTGCGGAGGAGGTAGATTCTGGATAGCCTTAACTTTATCGGGGTCGATTTCAATGCCTTTCCTGCTGACCACGGAGCCCAACAGCTTCCCAGATGTTACTCCGAAGGTGCACTTGCTAGGGTTCAACTTCCTTAGTCTCTAGAAGAGCTTTATCATATTCTCGACTTGTTCATTCTCGGTTTGTTCCTTGACAATCATATCGTCGACATAAACTTCGATTTTTCTTAATGCATCATGTCATGGAACAACAAAGCCGACTAATAAGAGAACCCTGAGCAATTGCTCAGAGCCTATAATTTTCTTAATTATATTTTTTACTTTTAAAATTGACGCCCCTAATTTATGTAATCTCACATTTTATTTTTAGAATTGAGCTCATATTTTTTTAATCTCACCTTTTATCTTTATAAGTGAAGTTCCTAATTTTTTCAATCTTACTTTTTATCTTTATAATCAAAGCCTCTATTTTTTTTAATCTCACTTTTAACATTTATAATTAAGGCTCCTAAATTACATTTAATTAATAATTTTATTATTATTGTTGTTGCAACAAGTACGAAAGATAAATAAAGTAGATACATAAACACAACAATCTTAGTAATGCTGCATGCCCTAGTTACGTTTTGTAGGTCTTATCTTAAGAAAATCACTATTAAATTCATAGCATAAATAATGCCTTTCCTAAATGGGTATTAAATATATTTAAATCGAGTGGTAGAGTTTGGTGATAAAGTTTGAAAGATTAATTTAAAAATTTAAAGGTCTAAATTAATTTTTGATGAAAAAAATTGAAGGGTTTAATTTACATTTTCTTTTTAAAAAATTGGGGTCTAATTAAAATTTTGAGAGACTTAATGAAAATTTTTAAAAATTATGTGAAGTGTTTTAATTAAGAACATTTAAAAGTTTTAAAGCTTAATTTGAACTTTTAAAAATTTTTGTGAGGGTATAAATGAAATTTTTTAAAAATATTAAGAGTCTATGTTATAATTTTTAAAAATTTTAAGGAGACCGTGGCCCACTAATTTTCTATGTGTTTTGCCACTATCTAAATCAATATAGAATTATAGAATTACTTTTTATATGCAGTAGACAGTCCATCTCTTTAATTTAGTATTCTCGCCCATAAGGAAATAGTAACTCTCATTAGTTTTGGACTTAAAGTAGTCTAATTTCACCAGCCAAAAGGAATAGTGTAATATTCTTTACAAAATAACGCCTAAATTCTGCAAGGCACAAGCACTCTAAAAATGGTCTACGACTCTTCGCTCTACGGATCAGCGTTTGATGGAGTCGAGTTGAGTAAGAAAATTTTAAGTTATTCAAGCTGACGAGTTTTATTTTATAAATCGAAGTTGACTTGCCGAGTCGAATTGAGTTTATAAAATTCGAGTCGAATCAATTTTTTGAGTTTTTATTTAAATTTAATTGTAAATATTTATAATGTTATGATCTTATTTGATTCTAATTTAAATGGTTTTTATAACCATATACAATACATATATATTTATTTATATATTTTTTCATATGTGATATACATTTATCATACAAAGTCGAGGACTCAACTTAAACTTGAAAATCAATCCAATAATTACTAAAAATGTCAAGTTATTATTCTAGTTGTATTTTACAACTTGATTTGAACATGAAATTTTTTCTAGTCGAGTTTATGAAACTCGAAGTCAATTCAAGTTGAGTTGAAAAAATCAATTTTTTAAGTCGAGTCGAGTTTTTCTCACCCCTAACTGAGGATGACATATGAGAGCAATCGTCTCCCGAAAATTTCAAATTAATATATATTTTAAATATTTTCTTTATATTTTTAATTAATAATATATTTTCACCCCTAAAATTTTATAATTTTGTTTCCTTTTAAAATTTCAAAAATTCTCGCTAACATAATAACTTTCATCCGTCCTTACTAGTATACATTGTAACATGTGAATACACCAACAATTTGTATTAATAAACACAAGTTTTATGATGCTACTAAACCAATGAGATAGTGGTGAGCATTTTATATTTAATCATCGAAAAAGAAGCCATTTCTGGTAAGAATAAGTTAATAAAGACAGGGACAAAGCATGTAAATAATTCCCAATCTCTTTATTGGATATATTATATATATACATATATCCATCGTCACCCACATGGCTGCCTACATAGCTTATAATTTCTAGGAATATAACAGTAAGTCATTTTCTTACACAGAAACGGGGCTCACGTGAGAGTGCAGTTTTTCTTATAGAGAATGATGGCAGAAGTAGCCGAAAGTAGTGGGTTTTTCGGTCACAGCAACAATGAAAATGGGGAGCAGTATGGGCTATTTTCATTGTTAACGTGAAAGCAATGCAAATGTTATGCTTGTACGATTAATTGCATTAAACAATATGTTGAAAAGGCATTGGGTGAAACTTGAAAGGAAGAGACCATGACCATGAAACTTGAAGTGCAAGGGTGTTTGTTTTGGCCATGCTTGGAAACCTCTAAGTAGTAATAATCAGGGATGCAGAAATTTATGTTAAACGTAAGTGGCGGAAGGTATAGGGACAACTTAAAACTTTAAAAAATTTAGAGGTTTAAATTATAATTTTAAATTTTTTCAAAGAGTTCAACTTAGATGTCTTTTAAAAAAAAATAAGGTCAAACTATTTTTTTTTAAATTTGAGAGGTTTAATGAGAATTTCTAAAAATTATGGTAAGGGTTTAATTAAGAATATTAAAAAAATTTAAAGCTTAATTCCGTCATTGTTAAAGGTTGAATCTATAAAATTTTAATAGATGAAAAATTTATAAATTTTTAAAAAAGAAAATAAATTTTAAATAAATAATATATTAAAAAATTAAAAATATATAATAATTTATAATTTTTAAGGAGACGAATTACCAACAATAATTATTTATGTGAAAGTGGGTCGGCAATGGTGGAAAATTTGGATGCTAATACAACTGAACTTGTCTTAACTGCCCTCTAACAGAACCCTCTCTCTTTTGTGTCCATAAAGCTAAAAAAAGGTCAGAGAAGGTTTTTCAATAGGCTAACCCCGAGAAGATTATAATAGTAATAGTGGAGGGAGGAACAATGATGATTTTTGACAAATTTCACTCTCTCTCATCATGGGTTCTATACTTATTGGTTTAGGCTAATGACTTTAACAAAGAGTGCTCCATGCTCCATTTATATTAAGAAAAATAATTAGATCGAGTTGATTAAAATTAAATTTAAAAAAAATTAAATTATTTAAATGATAAATTTTATTTTATAATTTAAATTTTATTTAAAAAATTTTAATAATATTATTTGAGTTTATGTTTAAATTTAATTATAAATATTTATAATATTATAATATTATATGATTCCATTTAAATGATTTTTATAACCACATATATATATATATATATATATATATATATATATATATATATTTCTTCATATATTTTCATACATGAGATACATATATTATATAAAATTGAGGGTTCGACTTAAACTTGAAAACTAACCGCTAATTAATAAAATTTTTGAGTTATTTGAGTTTTGTTTTATAAATCAACTCGAATTCAATTTTTTTAATTAAATTTATAAAATTATGAGTTGAGTCAATTTGAATCAATTTTTTAAATTGAATTAAATCAAAAAAGTAATTTTTTGAACCTAATCAAATTTTATTCACCCTAACAAACACAAACGACGTAAAGAAAACGGCGTTCCAAATTTATTTGGATCACTTTACTGCACGAACCTTAATAAATAATTGCAACTTATTTTATACGAAAAAAACGTCACAAGTTTCCTTTCTCAATTTTTTTTAAGGTTCTATGTTTCATTAACTGATATTTTTAGGCTATAACTTCGTAGATATGGCCTTAGTTTAAGTTTGGATTGGAGTATAGTTCTATTAGTTATTAAATAATTGAATTTATTTAAAAATATAAATTTATATTATGTCATAAATCTTAAAGAATAAGAATTAATATTTTAAATATTAATATAAATTCTAATTTATATATCTAGTTTGAGTTGAAGTGTTTATCTAATAAATATTCATATTATATTAAAAAAATCTAAAGAATAAAAGTTATTGTTGTTCAAGTAGCATACTTACAAATACTTATAAATAGAGAATATATTTTAGGTAATATATTTTAGGTTTTTGAACAAAGTATATGAGAGAAAACTATCTATTTTAAAGAAGCAGATAGGTGAAAAGTAACATATTTTTGAAGAGCACATGCAACTTTGTCTGTGTAAAATTCTCTTTTAAATAAAAAAAAAACCTCTTTTTATTCGTAGAGAGACTACACCGCGGTAATTTTTTGTTGTTGGGTAATTGTTTTTTTATCCTTCCGGTGCTGCTCGTGAATTACCGCTATACTTTATTTCCAAGGCAACCACGATAAATAATGCTTCACTTCCAAGCAAGAGAAGAAACCCAGTTGCCGATAAAGGTAAATCCATCCAATTTCAACAGTTGAACTCCCACACTACTATATATATATATATGTATATATATATATATATATATATATATATATATATATATATATATATATATATATACGCACACACACCATAATTGTCTCTTCAGCATATTTGTATCACATAACAAGTTCTGGTCTTTCATCAGTTTCCAACAATGGTGTGGTTAGGGAAGAATCCGATGAGGATCAAAGTAAACACCTAGAGTTCATAGCTTCCGTATATTCTTTGCATTTTGGATCCAAAGAACATTATTTCTGATCCAAGTACTCGTTTTTCTTTTCCTGTCAAAACGAAAATAAAACAAAGTTTGTGTCGTTGCAGGTGGCCAGAGTCGTTGTTTTGGTGGCATTTATATTGGGTCTAAGAGGAGCAGAGTGCAGGAAAAAAGGGAAGGTGGTGGAGTCCTTTGAGTACGCTGCTATAAGTTGCAGAGGACACAGTGCATTGATCACAGATTTTGGAGGAGTTGGCGATGGAAAGACATCGAATACTAAAGCATTTAAGGATGCTGTTGATAATCTGAGCAAGTACGCATCCAAGGGCGGTGCTCAGCTTTATGTTCCTGCCGGAAAATGGCTGACCGGGAGCTTTAGCCTCACCAGCCACTTCACTCTCTTTCTTCACAAAGATGCTGTTCTTCTTGCTTCTCAGGTTCGATTTATTACACCAATGTGGAGGGTTTTTTTTCCTGTCTGCTTTTGGATGAAAGGTGCATGAAATTCAAAACTTTAGACAATTTCGTCCAGTATTTTATTGTTATGACGAACCCATTTTTTCTTTTCTGCGAAAATCACGGTCCATTGATTTTCTACTATCAATAGTTAGTGGGTTGTTTTCAAGCATCGTGAATAAGACGTGAAATGATTATATCTTATACTTATGCCAATTAATCAATTGGTTCATTAGGATATGAAAGAATGGCCTGTTTTGAAGCCTTTGCCATCCTATGGTCGAGGAAGGGATGCAGCTGGTGGTAGGTTTACCAGCCTCATATATGGCACAAATCTCACCGACGTCATCGTTACAGGTAATTTTCTTTTTAAAACATTGTTTTTTTCTTCAGATTAGTGGACCCTGCATAATTTGAAATCTGGTTTGATCAGGGGCCAATGGTACCATCGACGGTCAGGGTTCATTCTGGTGGCAAAATTTCCACAAGGGGAAGTTGAAATATACCAGACCTTACCTACTCGAATTCATGTACTCGGACAATATTCAAATCTCCAATGTCACCTTTCTCAACTCCCCATCATGGAACGTCCATCCAGTTTATAGCAGGTAAAATTGCATTTTAATGCTCTCTTCAATCTCATTACTCCACGTGTCAAAACAGGCATCGGATGGTTATGATTTGATTTTATGATGCAGCAACATTCTCATACAAGGCATCACAATCATCGCTCCTGTCAAATCTCCAAACACAGATGGCATCAATCCAGGCATGAACACAAGAGATCCCAACAATGTTTTCAAGTTGTTTTTGTTTGGTTTTGTAACATGTTTTGTTTTTATGATCAGATTCTTGCACCAATGTTAGAATTGAGGACAGTTACATAGTCTCGGGAGATGACTGTATAGCAGTGAAGAGTGGTTGGGATGAATATGGGATTTCGTTTGGAATGCCCACCAAACACTTGGTCATCAGGAGGCTCACATGCATTTCTCCTTACAGTGCCGCCATTGCCTTGGGAAGCGAGATGTCGGGCGGGATTCAGGACATCAGAGCGGAAGACATCACCGCGATTCATACCGAGTCCGGAGTCAGGATCAAGACGGCTAGAGGAAGAGGAGGGTTCGTGAAGGATGTGTACGTCAAAAGAATGTCCCTGCACACCATGAAATGGGTGTTTTGGATGACCGGGAACTATAAACAGCATGCCGATAATCACTACGATCCCAATGCATTGCCCGTGATTCAAGGGATCAATTACAGAGACATCGTGGCGGATAACGTGTCGATGGCGGCCAGATTGGAAGGCATCGAAGGTGATCCGTTTACTCAAATCTGCATATCAAATGTCACAATTGGAATGGCAGCTAAAGCAAAGAAGGTGCCATGGACTTGCACCGACGTTGAGGGGATAACAAGTGGAGTAAGTCCTCGACCATGCGATCTACTACCCGATCAAGGCCCCGAGAAAATCACAGCTTGCGACTTTCCGGCCGAGCCTTTGTCCATTGATAGAGTGATGCTCAAAAGATGCACCTCTAAGGTCAAGCATATGTGAATGAAAAAAACCCTAAGTAGAATTTTATGTCGTAGTTGGGTACTTATGAGTCGGCCCTCAATGTTTCTGTTTCTTAATTAATCCTTTATTATTATTTAGTTTAAATTTTAATATGAATATAATTAAATTACATTTTTATTAAAAATTATAATTATTTCAAAAAATATTATTTGTTTATAACTAGAACACTTAATTTATATAAATTTGCATATTCATCCCAACAACAATCATCAGAATCAATTGTCGACGATCCTATTCATCGCTAAAAGATCATATTCTTCAACCTCAGCTTTAAATTCTCGTTCACCCAGTCCCCACATATTTTTAGCTACTTTACAACCACTCATCTTCCATCTTGTAAGCAACCTTTATAAACAATTCCAAATTCACATTCACCCAAAAGACAGTGTCTTTGTATAAGATGAATTATAAGCATGCAACATTGATCAAAACAGGAGCTCCAATTACATATAAATTGAAAATTATCAATAATTCCTTAAGCAACTAAATAAATTAATATGTAGCTGAGAAAAAATTACATGATCTTGGGTACATCCTAGTGGGGATGGAATTACATAACCACATGTAAGTAACACGATTTTCGGTGATGAATAGGATCACCGACGGTTAGTTTGATGGTTGTTATTGGGATGAATATGCAAACTTGTATAAATTAAGTGTTCCAATCCTAAACAAATAAAAAACCCTAAAAATAATTATAATTTTTAATAAAAAATATTATCACACCCCAAAATTTATTTGAAATTTATTTAAAATTAATTAATTGTTTTTTGGGACTAAACTGCAAAATTTAAAACCTCTGAGCTAAATTCAAAAGTTAGAAAAATTTAAGGATCAATCTTGTAATTTACCCATCCTAGTCTGTCAGTTAAAATAAAAAAAAAAGAGAGATAAGGGTTGGTCAGGCTTGAACCCATGACCTAGGGTATGGCCAGCCATGCCCTTACCAGATGGCTTAGCCCATATATGGGTCTAAAATAATAAATTTTATATTTTATTTGTTTTATTTCACGTTTTAAATTACCCAAACCAGAATCCCATCCTCCCCCGTGTTTCAACCTTAATTTCCTCCAAATTATAACTTAGCCCTCGCTGTCTCTCCTCCACATTTCACTTTAATATGGTAGTCGTTATCGACAACCTCCTGGGACCAAAACCCCACCGGTTACTCGTCATGACTCGTCGTAGAACGCCGTAAATTGTCTATTGAAGCCTCGTCGAAACCCCCGTCTCCATATATGTTTTCATTGATTCTGGCCACCTCGAACGTCAACTAGCCTCATCGCCTACTCTGTTAGTTTCCTCGTCGTAGTCCGCTCAAAACCCGATCAGAGGGTTACGTCAACATCGTCAGTTCCATCGATCGTCGGCGTGGGTAACTGTTTCGATCCTTTTCTTTATTTTCGATGGATTTTGGGCTGATGTTGGTTAATTATTGATTGCAATTGGGTAATTAAAGTTGTATGAGTAATCGACTGACCACCCCGAGCTCGTCGCCGTCACCACGTGCCTTTGTGTGCGAGTGGGCTTGTTCTGCCTGCCCTAGAAACCTTCTAGGACCGGTTCAGCTGGTCTAAACCGGCCCAACCCAATCCAAACCGGGTCTGTTGACCTGAACCGAGTCAACCCGACCTGATCCGTTAACTTTGTCCTGACCCGTTGATCGTTGATTGTTGATCGTTGATCGGTCTGACCATTGACATTGACTGGTCTGACACTTGACCGTTGACTTTGATAAAAAAAGTTGATTTTTTTGAAAAGTCATATTTTATGTTTTTCGACGTCCTGAGTCCGAATCCAATGTTCGTTTTGCCAAATTCGCACTCGGTGAGCCATTTTTCAATGTTTTATCTTCAGATTCAAGTTGGTTTCTTAATTAAGTTTAGTTTCTGACTTAAATTCATTTGCTATGTATCCGAGGAATTATTGGATGTTGAATTCAAGTTCGAGATTGATCGAATGGAGATTAAATGTTCGATCAGTGGAGCTTAGAAATTGAGGTAATACTTTACTACCTTTTGTATGCTTTTCGGAACACTTTGATAATTGGTAAATGCATGAGTGGAAATAATTGGTCCATGAGGTTTATTTAGTTATCATTGGACTCAAACTGAATTTAGAATAAATATAGAACATTGTATAAGATTTAGATGGCTCGTAAAAGAAATTGGTAGACCGATAAAAAACGCATCTAAGTTAAATGATTTTATCAGTAAATCAATCCATCTTGGAACTCCTAAATTCTGATTAATGTCATTAAAGGTTAAAGTCAGAAATGATTTGATAAGAAACTACGAAAAAACTGGTATGATGTAAAAGATAAGGATTTTCTCGGAAAGTGAAAATAATCATGTTATTCGATTATGATATGTGAGATGGTAAAAGACTTAAATTTTCTAACTCCTGAACGAACACCTTGATGCTAAATTACCGAAAGTACCTTACACGTATGAATTTCTCGAAATGATAAAGTTGAATTGATTGGAAGTATTGTACGTATTCGAATTGTTAAAACGATAGAATTACTTTGGAAACTCTTAAGTGATAGGGATAAACTTGAATACTAATTGATTTAAGTACCCTAATGATCTTGAATTAAGCGAATAACTTGGATAAGTATGGAAACACTAATGATCTTATATGTTGTACCATCCTTAAGGGATATGAACCATAAATCAAGCACATCGACATTTCTTGATATTGTTGCAATACAGAAGTGAAATAAAGACCATTGGAATATATGTTCATCTTCCTAAGATCTATTCAACAATGATTTTGAATATGATCAATTGAAAGGATTTGTTTGTATTAAAGAGTGAATACCCTTGAACTGAAATGTTTTGACCGGTTGACAGGTATCATTGCTGGGAGTTTTGTAGTTCGTGTTAACTCGATATTCCGATAGATTGACACAAATTGTAAATGCCCTGAATCTTTGTTTCTCCCTTATTAGCTCAAATCACTAAGAATTCTACAAACCTAACACCCAAAATGCCCCTGATTTCCTGGATAATGGAATTACCCTTATCATATCTGAAAACACGAGTAACTCTGATGCAAAGTATTTTGAATACCTTTCTGATTATAGAGAGCCTCCGAAAAATATCCGAATACTATATGATCATGATAAATCACGTTTTGAATAACTGATGAATATGTCATATATCAAACCCTTTTATGGGGATATCATCTCTTAATTTAATTAGTTTACAGAAGTTCATGACTTCCTATCTGATAAATATCAATCACCTCCGAATAATATCTTGAACCTCTAGTGTGTTCCCCGATCACATGGATATTTTCTCTGATTTTAAAAATATGTCTTTGTTATCTGAAATACAGTCTGACCTCTGATTTCTGTTCTGAACTTTGATATCTGTTCTGATCACTAATTTATGTTATGATCTCTGATCTTTGCTATGATTTCTGATATCTCTATTTACTGACATAAATTATTTTTATACGGGGTACTCAGGGACTCTGGTATGAATAATGACTCTGGCAGGTTCAATAGCTGCTGGTAATTCCTTGTATAGGTTTATCATTGACAGATAATTCCTTAAGGACCCAAGGTGACACTTGGGTTGGCTCCTGGGCCTAATGGGCCTAGTGGTAAAACCTTATAGACCCTAAGACACTCTCTTAGGATGGCTCATATGTTGTGTGCATTAGGTAAGCCCTTATAGGCCTAAGGGAATTTCCCTCATATGGGCATCTATACTTTGGCTAGGGTAAGTCCTTATGGATGTAGTTATGGGGAAATGCATATTGGCGTTCGATTGGAGGGTTTTACTATGTTTTTTTCAAAATACGTTTTAAACTGCCACTGTTTTAAAAAGATCTGTACCTTATCACTAGTTTTGTGGGAACACACTAGACATCCTATTCTGATATCCTGAACCTAGTCATCTGAATGTTTACTTTGAACTAGAATCTTACTGTCTTTTACTACCTGAGATATGAGTGGGACCTCAGCTCAGCATAAAAATCTGCAGATGTCTGAATCAATAAGGAAAATTTATGCTTACCTATTATCTGCATGTCCTTCAGCATCACTTGGTAGTTTTGTATTACTGAGCTTTCCAAAGCTCACTCTTTTACTCACTATTTTAGGTTAAAAATATTGAACCATTGCAACTATCGACATCAGTATAGGAGTTCCACCGGTGTTACTTGCAGAGTATGGTGCATGTGTTTAGGGGGCATGTAGGTGGTATTATATTTTTATATCCGAGTCTGAAACATGTATGATTTTAATTATGTCTGTAATATATGAATAGTTTTCTGAACTTATATTTTAATTATAATTTTTTTATGATTTTACACATTTTAAAAGAAATTTTAAATTTTTTTCAGAATATTAATGTGGGTTACTCCGGTGGCCCTAATGTGACACCTGTAATCATATCAGGTCGTCCGAATCGGTCTATGGGTGTTACATTTAGTGATATATGATCTTAGGTTGATTCAAGTTTTTTGGGTAGACTAACCGGTCGAATGTCGTAAGATGTCTGGTCAGTACATTCCTCTAGACTATAACTGTATTTCTCTAAGCCGAAACTCCATGGTCGAGTCCCTCTCGTTAATAAACTAACCTAAATTTTCTATCCGTTAGGGTTCGACCTATGCATAAAGAAACACCAGTAACATTTGTCTAAATTCTGTAAAGTGTCTCACGAGTAATGTGAGGGTTACTCATCCGAAAAATTCTGACCCGACTCTAGAAATGAAATTGGGATATGTTACCACTCTATAAACCTAACCTCGTAGCCAAGATTGAATTGATTCCACAAGGATAATTTTATTCAGATTCTTTATTGGGAATAAGGGAGAGGTTGACTAAAATGTACATTCAGCTGGTTAAAGACTAGTAAAGGAACCGTACTTCTGTAAATGCTACCTGAAGATAATGAAGAATTACTGAAAGCTTCGCTTATGCATTTCTGTGACTTGATTGAATTTCGAGGATGAAATTCTTTTAAGGGGAGGATAATTGTCACACCACAAATTTATTTAAAAATAATTAATTAT